ATTACAAAATAATTTATGGATTTTATTCATAGAGCAAAATTCGAAAGTTGTAATTAACTTAGGAGATATATTCTAAAATGTGTATTTACGTTTCATATAATTTGTACCGTTCCCTCTTTAATACTACTAAGCATGTTAAGTTTTTATTGAATAGTAACTAACAGCGAAAGAAGTGACTAAGTGGCATTTATTAAAACATTTTTATGTTCTCTGGGAGCAAAGCCTTAAGGCGTATTTAACTATAACTGACACCCGATAGAAAAATCAGCGTGAGCGACAAAGATCTCAAAATTGAGATTTTTTATACAGTTAGCCTTTTTGTAAGATCGTAATAGTGCGTCAGAATTTTTATTATAAATTTTCTGAAATTTTATTTTATTGTTGATAGTTAGCAAGGAAAAGAAAATAGGTGTAAAGTCAATTTTCTCAAAATATATCATGAAGAATTTGCTTTTTTTAATTACCCGGCAGTCTACAACATTGATTTAATTCACCAAGTTTTAAATTTTTCAAATTTCAGTGCATGAAGATGCTAAGTTAAATTCGTAGAGGGATGTCGGTGTGGAAAAAAAAGCAGACTGCAATTTTAAGTCTCTCTTACGGCAGTTCGTTAAAACACTGAAAATACGAATTCTAAGATGCACGGTGAGTAAAAAAGTGTTAAGGATGGAACAACCTAAGTAACAATGTTACCCTGGCCCCAGTTGGGCTCATTATGGGCCCTATATTGGGATGTCTAGATTTTTCATTATTGGACCTAGAATGGCTTATATAGGGCCTACATTGGCCAATATAGAAGCTATATTGGTTAAATAATGGGATATAAAAAATTCGGGTGAATCTAACAATTCTATATAGGATCGATATTGATTGTAAAGTAGCTGTAAAATATCGGGTGAATCGGGAAATTCTAAATAGGGCCAATATCGGAAAAATAACGGCCCTTTGAATCCTTATTGGGCCGAGATTCGTGAATATTGGTCCAATGAGGGCCAAGTTATTTTGCTGTTAGGGAAGAAAAAATGCTGAGGCACAATCTTTATTACTCACCTATTCTGATTCTAAATAAAAATCAGACAGAAATATTTTGTATTTACCCATGAAAGGAAAATCAGACGTTGTTAGAGGAAAAAAAGGCCCGTGTCTGATATATTACTCATAGCCATTTTTAAGGATTAGCTCTACTGGCCTAGGCTAAGGAATATACCTTTCTATATTCTTTGCCCATATTCTTTGAATCTTATTACGCTTTTTTTTTACCTTTATAGCCTTATCAATCTGTAAAAAATGTGAGCGAGAATGAGTAGTATAATAAAAGAAAAATTAATTTAACAATATGCATATATTTCGTATGTGTCTTCGATCATGACATATTAAATAACCAATTACGAATATTGGATATACTTATTCATACTTACTTAAATACTTATTCATTTTATATTTAATTTAATAATTAAAGTTTAAAAAAAGAAGTTTATGGTTCATTTGAAAACTAATTTTTAATATATTTTTGATTAAATTTAGAGCAATTACGTTCGACAAATTTCTAGTATTTTCAGCAAAAATGTTAATTTCTGGAAGCACACCTATTTATTTTTGGAAAAAAAAGTATTAGGTGATTTTGTGATTTTTATTTTTTCAGTTTTTACAAAACTTGTCTTGTTTCTCTTTTCATTTTATTGATTTATTTTGTAAATTGTTCAATGAAGGCTCTAAGACTTAAAAAGGGTCATTAGTTAGCATTAATAACTCGAACACCATTTTATATTTCCGATTTAAATGATAATTTTTGTAAGAAAACCTCTGTAAGAGATTTTTGTCCCTAGAATTTTAAATTAGAAAAATGAAAACTCTTACAGCAGAACTCTAAAAGCAGAAAACTCTTACAAAAATTCTCATACGGAAATTATTTCAATAATTCATTTTAATTAATTTTATATTGGAAAGGTAAAGGGATGAGTTTTGAAATATGCTTTTAGGAAGCTTAACTACCAGTTTTTCTAGATCCCCATAGAACATTATAGTTTCTAAAAATATATTTAAGTTGCTTTCTCTTTGATTCCTTTGATGATTTTCGACTCTTTGTGGTGAACTTAACTATATCATTAAATAACTTCGTTGAAGTGAAGATTTCTTTTGCAAAAATTATGTAGCCTGCTAACATTTTCAGTATAATTCCAAACGAAAAAAATGTTAGACGAATAATGACTGTATTTAACGAAAGAAAACTATTAAATATTTTTTTAATAATAGTTATTGCACTTAAATTTTTATTAAATGTCAAAACTGAAGAACTTTGAACTTGACAACTTTTGATAACACGTATACACCGAAGAGCCAATACATTATGACCACCCTCCATCTATAACAATGGACTCGCCCAGGTTTTAATTTTTTCTCGCCCAGGAACAATGTTTTCATGGGGCACATTAGGACCAATAATCCACATAAAACAGTCCCTGACGTCTGTAAGCTACTTGAACATAGTTGCAGACCAGGTTCACCCATTCATGGCAACAGTTTTTCCTGCGGGGATGGTGTTTACCAACAGGATAATGCACCATGTCATAAGGGTCGAATCGTCGAGGAGCATTCCAGTGACTTTCAAGTCATGTCTTGGCCCCCAAATTCACCTGACCTTAATTCAATAGAGCATTTGTGGTCCTATTTGGAAAACCAAATTCGTGCAGCCACGCTACCCCCTGCGCAATGTGAGGGAATTGGAGGACCAGTTGGTGAACACTTGGTACCAGATACCTCAGACTACCTATCAGCACCTTGTGGAATCAATGCCACGGCAGGTACTAGCAGTTTTGAGGGCTAAAGGTGGTCCTACATGTTATTAGCAGGGTAGTCATAATGTAATGTCTCTTCGGTGTATATCGGTTCGGGCTCACTTTTGAGTTCGGTGAAAGCCCAAACTCGAGATAAAAACAATTTTTTTATAAGACCTTAGGCCGAAATTCGTGTATATATAAAATAAGTGCGATTACCTATTTTCGGAAGTATGGCATTTAATACTATCAAATTGGTTCTAGTTAATAATTGACCATATAATTTTTATTCATCTGATTAGTTTGAAAGAAATAAGAAAGTATATGAAAGCTTTATCTATCATTAGCAGATGCCCATAAACTTCATTCGGTTAACGATCCCTCGTCAGGTTTGGCCTCAGGCTGAGCAGTGATATGGTTCTTGCTTCTCGAAAATTTTTAAATAGCAAGAAATCTTAAATAATACTTTTCTTGAACAAATAAATACTTTTCTTGCCTAACTCATAAGTTTCCCGTTCACGATAATGATCATAAAAATTCTTCAGTCCAGGATTTGGAAGGAGAAAAAGGGAGAGAATAACAGCTGGATGTGGGTGAGGGGGTAAAATGGTGACATATGGAGTTGGTATCAAAGACCTCACTCCCGTACGGTGTTTTCTCATGGGTGGCGACTGACGAAAGTCTTTTTCCATCTTGCTCACTATGCTCTTGTTTCAATCAACACATACCACAATATGGAAACGATCCCCTTAAAAGAAATTACGCAAAAGCTGGGGTGTTAGGGGATCGGACAAAAGAAGCCGTGATGTGGCAAACGACACACTTATCCGCCTTATTAAAAGAGCACCTGAAACTAATTGTTTTCGCACTCTCCCATGTTCTTTTCTCCCCATGTTTCAATCAGGCACAGTATGCATGGCTAGCCACGTTTAGGGACTAAGAAAAGCTAAATGCTTTATTTACTTTTGTTTTCGTAAGGCGCGTTTAATTAAAAGTCGCATTTCGCTCGGCCTTAAGAATTTAGGACTTACGGTATTTATTAGTCATTAATCGATTTTAGCTGAAGACAGACAACTATTGAATTAATATATATATTGCACATTGACTTTAATATCAAAATGGTCATTAAAATAAAATATTTATCTTTAACGCATCCACATATTGTATATATATAATACACCTTTTCATTTAAAAAGTTAACTTCTACATAGAAGACGATAAAACAGTCAAAGTTAAATTTTTATTGCGGGGTGCTGTGTGTTTTTATCTCAAAAAGTGACACTCCTGAAATCTTTTTGGCAGTTACAGGTATGAGAGTTGGGACAAAAAAATACCTATCAGCTTAACGATAGAAAAATTAATGAAAAAGTGTAAGAAACTATTTAGCACAAAAAAAAACTTTTTTTTTTCACTACATGTGTACATTGACAGTCCAACAAACTATTAAGATGTATATGTAAATCATGATTACAGAGAATAAAATAATAAAAGTAAAACAAAATAATGTAAAAATATTAAGAAAATTTTTTTCGTAATTCAGCATTTTCTTTTTTCATTTTCTCGCCCGAAGTCTATTTTTCAATTAGCGTTGTTTTAAAGACTAAAATAACTTAGAAATCATTTAAGTGTCCTCAAAATTAATAACATACAGTAAACATCTATATAGCAGAATTCTATAATGTACATTTCTCCATAAGCCACATTAACTTTTACAGTGAAAACAATGAAAATTGCAATTGAGAAATAAATGAAGCTAAGGAAACCAAAATTAATGAATGTCTGTTATTAGTTCTGATACTCTAGAACACTTAAATTTTTTTCTATTGATAATAAATAATTAGGTAAATTTTTGTGTTGTTAAATACAATATCTATAATTATTTTTTTAAAAATCTAAAAATAATTTTAAAGTATTTTTTGATTCATTTGTTCCAAATATATATTAAAATGTTTAACATATAGTATAAGGCTGTATGTTTCAATCTTTTCATTATAAAAATTTTCTACTGTATTAGGATATAATGCCTAAAAATATGTTTATCAAGTTTTGCTTGGTGCCAATTCCTATATAGTGTTTAATTTATAAAACTCATTAAGTTCTATTATTTATATTAACTAAGAATATTTTACCGAAGATTATTTATTAAATACTATATAGTTAAATACATTACTGATACAAATAAATTACTTGTTATTTTAAGTTAATGTTTACAATTAAATATTTCAGGTCATCCACATTTTTTGAATCAGCTTTCAACAGGACTTGATATTGTTTGCTTAGCTGGAGAATGGTTAACAGCAACTGCAAATACTAATATTTAAGTATACTTTTTTTTAAACAATGGTTGATGTTTTTATTGTTTATTATTACTGTTCCACTTTTATTGTATTTTTTTCTGTATTGCTTGTTTCTTGATAGTTCCTTTTGTATCTATGCGAGAGGCGTTATCACTTTAGAGAACGATATGCCATATGCTACTGATAAAAAAAAAATTTTTTTTCAATGCCCACCAGGAGAATGGCCTAGGTCATACAGGTATCTGAGGGGCAGATTTGTTGACCACTCTTTCAGGGGCACCATATTAGGTGGGTCAACGTTGCTCCCACAGTAAGACAGTACAGAGAAGGGAAAAACATCCATGCCTTGCTCGGGACTCGAACCCAGAACCTTTCTGATGCAAAGGCAGTTTACTAACTCCTACACAGGCCGGTCGGCCTGCTAAAAATATAAAAAACTATACTATAGAACTAACTTACCATTCTTGGCTGCAGATAAATATCAGTTATAAATTGTTTTTTAACTCATACTTCTTTTAACCCTTTGAGCATTGGTTACAGCTTTTTTCAAACTTAGCTACAAACTTTTCTGCATCATAAAACTGGTTTCCCCACGTAGCCCATGTTATAATAACGTGGGAAACCAATTCAATGGGAAGTAGTGCATAGCAAGGGCTCAATGCTTTGAGGGTTAAAAAATATAGAGAGAGGGATAGGATGGGAAGACTACTTTTTACAAAATATTTCCAGCAATTTCATTGTTCAATATTGTTGTTTTAATAAAGTTCTTAGGACAATATCGTAAAACACTTCATGAAATTAAAGTGTTTAAATTTCATGGCATTAAAATATTGTTTTATGAGTCACTTCAAAAAGCAAAAAAAAAAAAAAAAAATCCTGTTTCTTCCCACATACTTATGTAGGAGGAAACAGGATTTTTTGTGAGATATTTTTTTACATGTTAAAATTGAAATAAAATGTGAAAAAATATTCTAGAAGGAACACAGAAAATGAGAGACATATGCTTTATTAAGTTCAAACAAAATTAAATAAAAGTGAATGCACATAACTCGTTTGTCATTAGTTTTTATGAAGATACTTTAATATTGACAACTATTGGTGTAAACTAAATATGCCAAGCTTCTTGTACTTGAAATAAATTTACTTGTTTTGGGGTAGTTTTAAATTTTACCTTTTGAGTTTACCTCATTCAGTGATGTTTTACTATGCAGTTGTTCTTGGGCCATAGATTCGCCAATATTTTTGGCACATATATTGATATGAAAATGTCACATCTTTTTACGTATATTTCATATTTTATTAATAAATCAATCACTATTACAGGTTTACATATGAAATTGCGCCATGCTTTATTTTAATGGAAGAAGTGGTGTTAAGAAAAATGAGAGAAATTATTGGATGGCCCGAAGGCGACAGCATGTTGGCTCCTGGTAAAAAAAAACTTTATTAGGCATATAAACTTATCTAGAAATTAAAAGAATATTACAATATCGCCTCAGTTTAATGCTCTTTCATTTCAAGAAAAAACATTAATTTAGAAGTAGAGCCAGATTTTGGGGAAATTGGTTCAAGGCCAAAACTATGGTTTGTACCCTCATTGAAAATGCATAGTCTTTAAAATTAGTAAATCTTTATTAAAATCATTTAAAGTTATTAAAATCTGTTTTTTAAAATATTACATTGCTTTTAATTGAAAAAAAGCTAACAATAGTTTCTTAATATGTTTTGTACTGTTACCTCTAAAAATATTTTTCAGTTAAAATTTAAACATTATTAAATTAAGAAGCTCAGGTAAGAATACCCAGGTTCTTATTGGAAATTATGAAATTAATTATAAATTAAGTATCAATAAAAAAGGTTTATTAGCAATTAGAAATTTCAGAAAAAATTATTAAACCATATTACAAATTATGTGTTATGTGTATACCATTCATGTTGCAGATAAACAAGTGTATCTTAAAATCAGAAATAAAAATATTGAGTTTGAAATAATAAGGATGAAAATCTCATATGAAAAGTTTTACATAATCCATATCTAGAATTAATTAAATATTCCCCTTACCATGATTTTTCATAAAATTATGACGCATTTTTTGTTTAAGAGTCTATTTATTGTCAAATACTTAGTTCACACTTCAATCTCTGACCCAAAGGTACTGCATTGAAACATTATCATGCTTTCCCTTTACCCTTTTTCAATTTACTCGTCCAGAATAGAAGCAGAATTTTTAAACACTTCTTACTTTGGTATGGTGGTTCAATTGCTCAGCAAGAAAACTGGTTGCATATCCTTCTCTTAAACTTTCTTGCCCAAAATAATCCCTGGTATTCCTTCTCGTACAGGTGGTCCCCGACATTACAATGTTTACACAGCGTGATGTGCGAAAAACAAATGAATCTATATTTTAGATTTAGATTTCTTTCATTTTATCAACAAAACAAAAAAAAACTCTTTTCGGTATTTATATTTTTTAAAATATTTCTACTGCAACTGCTATAATGGTGCAATTTTATTTGCGTTAATTAAAAATATCTATAATAAAGTCAGAACTATAAAAGCGATAAAACATGGTTATATGAGTAAAAGTGACTGAAAGCTATAAATACTAGTACATACTAATAAAGCTATACGAGTATTACTCGGGAATAAATGACGCATAATCCACTCAAGCCAAACTTATGATCCAAACTGTTTAAAAAAATAAATAAAAATGGAAAAAAATGAGAAAAACTTAAAATGGAAAAAAAAAATTGTTCTGAAATATATTTCGTCTGCTGTGCCTGTCTCGGGAAAATTCCGGGCATAGATGCCCTACCTTTCCTCATTGGCAAAAAAGAAAGAAAAAGAAAAAATGCTCTGCTATAAGGAAGAAGCTTAGAACTTAAGGGCTAGGCGAAAAATTGTGCTAATTTCTGAATAATGAGAATTCAAAAGAAATTTTACAAGGTGAAAAATATTGATCTAAAAGTTTGAAGTAATAGCTGCTTTATTTTTAAAAACAACTATTTAAATTTTACTTCAACTGAAGTCTAAGTAAAATAAAAGTAATTTTCTAAAAATAAGGTAATTCGTTATAAAATTTATCATAAATAAAATTCAACAAAAAAAATTTGTGAATAACACTATAACCATACTATAGAAAGTTATTATAATTATTACCTTGCTTTTTCAACATCACGAAGGATATGAATTTTCATTTAAATTTATATAATTATATAGGAAATACATAAAATTTATATGCGAATTAAAATTAATATTAATTAAAACAATTATATTAATTAAAATTAATATGTAAAGTGAAATAAATAAGACTTATATATAAAATGCATATGACCCATAAACAAATTGCTTCCTTTTGCCTTCAAAGTTTAACAATATCAAGCAATAGTTTAAAATCATAAAAATCATCAAAAAAATTTCTTAATATTTCCTTCAAACAAAAAATTTATGAAATGCGTTCATAAGGTGCAACAAATTACAAACACTTACCATTTTTTACGGATACTACAAACAACTCAGTAATAAGTTGCGTCATAGTGACGTAATATATAGAAATTATCTTAAGAAGTTTAGGTGTTTGACGACATCTGACACAAGGGATAGTTAAAGGATATTTCGACAGGTCAGAAAAAAATGCTGACAGGTTCTGCAGTTCATTCCATTTATTTTTTAAAATACGTTTTTTTCACATTTCGACATAATAAGTGCTAAAAATAAAAGTGTTTCCCGTTCTTTAGGTGGTTCGATATCAAACTTATATGCTTGCCTGTGTGCCCGACATAAAATGTTTCCTGATTACAAGCAAAAAGGTCTAATCAGTCTTGGGCAACAATTGGTCATCTATACAAGCGAACACGTAAGCATTAAAAAATTGTCTCCTAACAGTTATTGTTGTCCTATTATCTCACCTAACAAATATAATGAAGAAATCGTGCTAAATTAGTTCCATTTGAAGATCTAGTTTTCGATTGAAGCGTAATTGTTTCCCTTTTTTCTTCTTTTTTTAGTCGCATTATTCTTTGAACGGTGCTGGAATGGTGATGGGGATTGGAACAGAATTTGTTCGTGAGGTGAAATGTGACAAAAGGTAAGTTTTTATTAAAAACTTTCCTAAAAAGTTTACATTTTTAAGCTTCAACATTAAAATATTTTTTGCAATTCAGGTCGGTCATAAGTTGCATAAATATTTATGAAATTTTCGAAATATTTTAGTGAGAACCTTTTTGTACAATTTTAAATATCTATGTAATTTGTCTATGATCTCTGTAATTAATCTATATTTCAAATTACTCTATAAAATAATCCATCAATGAAATTGTAATTAATCTATCAATGAAATTTATTTAATAACATTTCATTAGGAACTAAGTGTGTATCATAAACGCATTATTAAAAAGTATGACGTATGGTTAGGGTAACCAAAAGGCTTGCATATTTTTTGTATAAATATAGCTGATAAAATTCTTCTAATTTGCGTTTACATTAAACTCCCTGAGTTTTTGTCCCGGCTTTTTCCGAACATTAAAGGGAAGGCTTTTTTTACATAAAAAAACCGTCCCCCCCCCCTATATAATTTAATGGGAAAGTAGAGCAAAGAAATTTCTGTACCAATTTGCCCGGGATTCAATATTTGGCTTGTTAGCTTTTGTATAATAGTTTAAATGTTTTGAATTAAACTTTAAAAAATCACTATGTGGTAATATACTAAGTATTCCTTTAATAAAAATAAAATTATGCTACTATTTAAAATATTTGTCAACTATGTGCATTACAATTGTTTATGGCATCTGTTCTTAAAATTCAATTTTTTTTTGATAGAGTTAGCATTACTGACACGATGCATAGTATTACATTACTTTTTAAACCTCTATCTATATTTTATAGGGGCAGAATGATACCTGGTGAGCTTGAGCAGTACATTATTTCGGATAAAGCAAAAGGTTATACTCCTTTCTTTGTCTGTGCCACAGCTGGAACAACGGTTCTTGGTGAGTCATATCAACACATGAGTTTTGTTATTTTTATGACACGTAGAATGGAAATACAATGGGCAAAATAATAGCAGTTAATAAATAATAGCTTGAACAGATTCTTTTCAAGAAAATATGAATTTACGGAGGTTTTTTTTTGCACAATATGATTAAGTTTCTCCATCAAATATCACCCATTGTTCTCATATGCAAAGGCATTCTTTGAAGGAATTATAGCTTTCTATGCGAGGCGAGTAATTATCGACAATGCCAACCTTCATCTATCTAAAGGTACCTCGAGATAGAATCGAGTTAACACGTCTAATATACTAGTGAATTTATGTTTAATAATTGTAGTGGTAGTTACTCCACAATATTAGAAGTTTATCAGGGATAGAATTCAACGAACGGATACCACTAGTTTCCATAACTGTGAAACACCGGGAGAACTGTACTAAGTTCATCGGATTTTGAGTGCTTATAGTGCGAGCTATATTAAGTTCACCGAGTTTGCACGATTGTTGTGAGAGCTGTATTAGGTTTACGATCGTGGTCGCTAATGTGTTGCTATTAGCAGTCGAGTGTGAAGAGGCTTACGTTGTGTATGATCGAGACTGAGTAGCAACAGCACGAGGAGGTGGATAATGTCGCACTCACAAGTAGCAAATGAACTGTTCAATGTGGACCAGCCATCGAAGTAGGCGTGTTTAAATCGAAGTGGGAGTTTCTATCTAGATAGGCGTGTTCACATCACGTTTGAAGGTCACCAATTTGGGGAGAATGCATATCGACAATGCATACATTCATCTGAAAAGGTACCCCAACATAGAATCGAGTTGACATGCTCTATATACTAGTGAATTTACGTTTAATAATTGTAGTGGTAGTTACGCCACATTTTTTTTTTTCTAGGAGGCCCTCAAAACTTTTTGTAGTACTCATATCAGTTAAACATCTTAATCAAAAATCTCATTTCAAGTAGTCTAAGAAGATGATGGCCTGAAAGAAAAACTTCGTTATGAAATGTGTTTCGAATTTCTTTGTTTAATATTGGATATCCATATTATTGCAGAGCTCGAATTTAACGTTGGTTCATTGGTCCGATAAGACTAAAATTTGATTCGAACCACCGTAAAATAATTATCAATGATTCCCCGGACCAGGATGTAAAATAATGATATGCCTATTTTTCGGTTTCACGCTTTGTTCTGTGTTTTTGTCTCAAAATAGTATATTTCATCATATTTGTTACATCCCTCGTTTTCTGTGTCGTAATTTTTCATTTAAGTTCACTTTATCATTATTTTAAATCGAATATTGATGTGCAAACGGACAAAATAGTATACAGCAAAATGTGACTATTAAAATATTACCCAACCATATGTTTCACTACTTTGCTAAAAAAAATTTAAACTTAGCTATTTTATACAAACTTTTTAACTGCTTTAACATTTCGGTATTTAGAACATTCTTTAAAAATGAATTTTAATATTAAAATATCTTAAAATGGTACTTATAAGTTTTAGTGATAAGAGACTGTTTATCACAAATCTCTGATAATAAAATTCAGAATAGCTTTTTTCTTCAAAGTAAAGGGATAAATGATTTTAAGCTTTTAACATATTCTCTATAAGTTTCAATATTCCAAAAGATAACACTTACGGTACAGTAAAATAATAGTTTTAGGCGTATTCGTTAAAAGGATAGTAGAATGAAACATACATTAAGTCTTATCAACCTTACATTTACTAACAAGCTTTTTCAAGCTACTTAAGCATTTAAAAACTAAATGCAACTTTCTAATTTTTTAATGCTTAAAAAATTTAAATAATTTTAATTATAATAACTAATAATAATAACTAATTTTTTAACGCTTAAAAAATTAGAAGAATGATGTTTAAAAAATAGAATTTATTAACAACGCTCATACATTTAACAGAATAATCTTTATATATCTTTAAAGTATGAAAAAATATTGTATAAATTAAAAGTGTTCGGTGTCTTCTGATCATGCAATGTATATGAGTTTCATAAGTATTAATAAATATTTTAATAACATTTTAGGTGCTTTTGATCCAATTAATGATATTGCTGATATCTGTGATAAGTACGGTATTTGGTTTCACATAGACGTAAGTATTTATTGAGTAAATAAGGTTTTTTTATTTTATTTTCTTCCTGCTGATATAGTTTCCCTTATTTTATGAACTATGTAGTTCTTTTCAATTCATATAATAATAAAAATGATTAATATTTTTTTTCGATGATTTAAAATCTGTGGACTCGTGAATCACCATATTACATTCTTTGGAACAAAATACAGTGAAATTTGAAATAAATGTTCCTGGAAAATATTGCTTACATTATGTCACTCGTTGAAAACTTTTGTTAATAAATTGTTAAGAAATATTAATTAAGGTAAATCTAAATTGTTCTGTTTGATTGAATTAAATCTTGTAATGTGTCATTAAGAATGCAATTCGGGAACTAAACATTGTTTCGTAGTATATTCATGTATCCATCAAATTTTTTTATTTATTTATTAGGGGGACCAGAAAGTAATATAGTTTCGGCCCATGAAATATTCGTTAGTTTTCAAAACCAATTCATTTTTTTCAATCCATTTCGATTCATTTTCGATTCACCATTGATAAAAGGTTGATTGAAAGGTTGTTGCTAACGAGGGTGACTACATTATTGATTAAAAATAAAATGTTGGTAACAAATATTAAATGCACTGAAACATTACTTTCTGGTCCACCTAATACGTTTGAAAGTTAAAAGTTTTCCCTATAATTCAACATAGCTACCAAGTACATTCAGGCACTTGTCATTGTGTTTTGCGAACTTACCAATTTTTACCGCATAAAACAATCGCGTGTGATTTCAAGCAACTAGTTACAGTGTTTCGAAGTTCATCGTCAAAAAAGTGCTGAGCTCTAAGCAATTTCTTCTTTGCTGTAAATGAATAGATGATAAGCAGAAGGAGCCCAGTCCGTGCTGTAGGAGTGTTGATTATACTTGATCCATGAATTGGCGCAAACCAAGTCGTGTGAGATAGAGCATTATAAACGTACTTATCCAAACCCAGACATCAGAAGACTAAGACGCTTGTTCTGATTGGATCTTTCCAGTTCCTTCAAAGTGTTTCAGTTTTCTAAAAGATACATTCATTAGGATGGCTGAAATCTTATAGAATCATAAACATCTTGATGTAACAATAGTTGGGCTCCATCCAATTCTACTAACGGCAGCGCAAGTTAGTTCCCGAAACGAACTCTTAAATTTTTATTTAATATGGTTTGTTTTTGCAATACAATTTTTATTATTATTATTTACATATCCACAAAACAAAATTTTAAGGTTTATTAACACAAAAAAAGAGAAGAAATTGTGCTATCGAAATAAATAAACGGCACATTATAAAAGTTTAGTTAGCTATATCAAATAAAAGAATTCTCGCCAAAATCGAATCACAACTTTCCAAGATATTTGTGTTAGAAAGTTATGTCCTTCCATAAGATCAGGGTAAAAATAAATGGAAATAATGCTACACTAAAAAAAAATTTCCATTCAAAGGGAAGAATAATTAAAACATTTTGTTGATAAAAATGAATAAAAAAAATAATAAATAAATTCACTAATGGTTTTTATCACAGGCAGCCTGGGGAGGTGGAGTGCTGTTGAGCCGAAAATACAGGTACAAGATGAGTGGAGTTGAAAGGTAAGGCACTCTAATGTAAATTGAAAGGCTTCGAGCAATATAATTATTAGCCACATGTTTAAATTGTTTAGGGAAGCGTTTTTTGGTAAAAAAAAATGCCAAATTTCCATATTAGATATTGGTAATAAGATGTATCTGTATATTGTGCCATTATCAAGTAAAAATTCGGGGAAAGTGTAGAGCACCTGTTAATTACTTGCAAAATATTCGTAAACAATATTAAGACTTCGTTAGAGGAAAAAATATCCCCCTTAGAAAAGGTGGGTCTTATCTATTGTCCATAGCTCCTTCAATTTAATTCTGGTTTTTGTTGTAATTTTTAAATTAGGATACATCTCATTTTGGGACATACTGTAAAAAATATTGGATCAAATTGTGCTAAAAAGTACTGACATTCAGGGTGTCAGTACTTTTTACCGTAAATTGCATTATTATATTAAATTTTTACGGAACAAAAAATTTGACATACCGTAATTTTTACAGTAATATTTACTGTGAAATCATTAAATCACTTAAATTTAGTGAATATTACCGTAATATGAATTTTACGGATGCTGAACTCATTATTCCCTCCCGCAATATGATCCGGCATTGCGGGAAATGAAAAGGCTGACAACATTGCCAAGAAGGGATTTTTGGTTCCTCAGGAACCTTCTGGAAACTTCAGATTCCATTCAGCTCAGCTTTCTCTGTGAAACGATTTTGCATTTTTAGCGGGAAAACCTTACAATGTACTGTTGATTAAACTGCAGCTTGTTCATGACCTGCAGTTGCAACTATTAAACACCAAACTTGACATGATCGTCTTCGTGCGCATCTTTTTTGTTTAAGCATTGTTGACTCTTCTACTACCTCTTTGTATGACTATTCAGGGTATGACTGCCTTGCATTTGGACGAGTGCACTGTAGTATATTCCTTCTCCAGTCAAGTAGAGAAATATTAGAGAGTCAGTTGTTCAATGGCCTAGCTGACAAACGACTGGCATTTGACAGTAATAACATTAAGATAAGCAATCACAATTGAATACTTTTCCTGATGGCAATAATCATACTTTTCTGATTTTCGCAAAAAATTACTGCCTTTCAGATTTTATCAGTCATAAAACATTTTTCTCAGGTCACATAAATTTATATATAGTACAATCGTGAGAAATAAGTCACATGAATTATTCATTATGTCATTAATAGTAACAATACATATTATTTTTAGTTTTCTTAATCTCACAATACAACAATAATGTTAAAAAAGTTACAGAAACATAAAATATATCGCATGCTTATATGGAGAATATCTAATTAATTAAAAAAAGAACAGCTTTAATCATATATTCTTATAAAACTTAATAAATCTATTAAGACTGAAAATTTATTTCTACTATCTCAAAAATAATAGTAAACATTAAAATTGTGCGCATTAGCTAAGATTTGATTGTGTGTTGATGTAAAGATTTATTTCGAAGTATCGTTTTTTTTTGTAAAATTATTTAATACTTAAATTTTTGCGAAATATTATTAAAAATGAGCAATAAATAATAAATCTATTTCAATTTTATGTATTCTAAAGTCTAGGTACTTATATATATTTTTTATGTCTTAGCTAATTGAATAAACTATATTTATTTGGTTATACTCAATTTTATTGTAAATATCCATTAAACAACATAACTTAGAAGGAAAAATTTTTTTTTAATTTTGTTGATTTTGTTGAATTATTAATTAGGTCTTAAGGTAAATCTCTGTAGCTGTTAAAAATATAATTGAAATATTGTTTAAGTAACATTTTTAAGAAAAATATTTGGTATGCAACAGTAAAATTATAAGCATATTATATTCTTATGAACCTATTAATAATCATGGCTCTACATAATTTTATTAACTGTTCATTACAGTTTATAAAATTACAATTTCCTAAACTGTATTTTCTCCATTTAACAAATTTTGAATAAAAATTATTCTTAATGCTTAAGTATTTGTGGGTTAAGTATATACAAAATAATATGTTAAGGTGATAAATAAAGCTTGCAGCTAATTGATTAAATGAACAATTATTCATTGTAATACGTGGAGTTTTATAATCTCTACCTTTAATATAAATTTTCAGTATCCTTGTTAAAAACAAAGTAAAAGAAGTACCCTCATTGGGAGTCGCAAATTAATAATAAACTAAAAAATATATAAAAATGTGATGAAAATCTGACGAATCTTTTAAAAAGAAAGCGAATTTAAATTCATCGAACCTAGTGAGAGTAAGTGAAAAACGAATATTAAAAATCCTTTTATGTGGTTTTCAAACTAGTTTTAATGTCTTAAATCCCTCTTTTTGAATTAATACTTAGTCAGATTATGAAATTTCTTTGCTTAATTGCCCCTTATGTGCATATTTACAACATCATTTTTGACAAGGATTCAATAAATATGTATTAGGATATATTATGTGATAATATATCCTAATAATACATATCTATGCCCTATATTTATTCGTAGATAAAATATCTATACCCTCTATTTTTTTAACAAACCATTCAGATTTTTAAACTGTCTTTTTATAAAAGTTTGTCTTTATAGATTATTTATTTNTATCCTAATAATACATATCTATACCCTATATCTATTCGTAGATAAAATATCTATACCCTCTATTTTTTTAACAAACCATTCAGATTTTTAAACTGTCTTTTTATAAAAGTTTGTCTTTATAGATTATTTATTTATTTATATATTTTGAAACGAAACATCGGGTATTTTTCGCTTACGATGGCCTGCTAGTTTACATTTAAATTTCTTTTATAAAGTCGATTTCAGTTTTTATCACTGTTCATACATTATTTAAAACAATTGCTTACATCTATTTTTATGAATTTTATTGCCATTGAGGACATAAGATGGGCATCAATTCTTTCAGGGCTAAATCAGTGACATGGAATCCTCATAAATTGCTAGGAACGTTGCTACAATGCAGCACGTGTCACTTTAAAGAAGAGGTGAGTACCATTTTTAAATATAAGTTATTTTAATTTTTAAGGAAACATGCGTTTATTTCAATCAGAATTCATTCTTTATAGAAATAGTTGTAATTTGGATAGATATATTTTTTTTAAAGTTTTCAACATGCACGAGAGACAAAAAGGGAAAAATTGCACATTCATTTAACAATCTTCATTAAATTTTCCGAAATAAATTCGTGATATATTGTTACTGTATTGGGCAGCATCTTTTAAAACATAGAGGGTGTTCCAAAATTTGGCCAACAAACTCAGAGAGGTGATAAAAGGCACCAAGAGGAGGAAAATTTACCATACATCACTCAAACCACGTTTAGAGGGCGAAAATAACAAAATTGCCGGACCCATTCCATGGCCTCCGCGCTCACCGGATTGAGAAATCCGAGTGACTTTTTCGTATCGATAACCTTTAATCACTAGTTTATACATCAAAAACACACCTCGCATCATCGAGTGCATCCGGGAATCGATTTTACATCGTTGTAGTCTATGCAATGTCATTATCTAGTGCCACTACAAACAACCCTTGAAATAATTAATCAAAGAAATTTTTTGCAGTATCTTTTGTTTTTAAAGCTTTACGTCGAAACCTGTATGTTGAGTTTTTGTTATTTCCCCCCCCCCTCTTAACGTGATTTATAATTCCATGTTCTGTGTTAAATTTTTATCAGTTTAATGTTTTTATCAAATTTTAGAACACCTTTTTTGAAATACAATGTTATCTCTCAATTTAAACTTAAATAGTAGATAAATTGAAGTCCTTATTTTAGAATTGCATCTGTTTTTTTCATCATAAAATTAAACAAATGCATTATGCAATACATTTTTAATATTTTAATAAATAACATTTTTCGACTTAAAATTTTTCAAAGATATCTTTGATTTTGCGCTATTTACATTAAGAGAATTTTTTTGTCATTATCTAAATCAATATCTATCAACTTAAATAATAATAAAAGAATTAAAAATTTAAAAACAATCAAATATCAATATCTAATTACCTATTCAAATTTACTATTCGAAAAAGATGGTCGTGTTTAAATTTTTGAAAAGAAATCCTTTGAGATTTTAAAATTACCATGCACTATTGCTCCTAATTTTGATAAAGCATTGCCTTTGTTTTCAACCATTTTAAAAAGTGTAGTGCTATCAAAAGATTCTCTATCTTCAGAAATTCGTTAGTAACTAAGAAAATAAAATGAACAACAGGAAAACAGAAATTAAAACTTCTGTAACTAACAGAATTCTGCACGGAAACAAACGGAAAAAAAAAAATTCTTTAATGAACCGTAATATATTTTTATTACCAATATTTTTTAAATTTTTGATTTTTAAAACCCTAGTCCTCTTTGAGACTTTTGTTCAGAATATTACGAAAAGCGTACATATATAATATAGCGTACAAATATAAAAAATACATATATATATTAAAATATATATANTGGAAATAAAAAAAATTAAAAAAAACAAAATTAATGTCTCTGAAGTAATATCTTTTTTAAATCCGTTCCGCTTGTTTTTTCCGTTTGTTATAATGTTAGATTAAAATATATATATATATATATATATATTGCATCGCTAATATACAGTGCGCAAAATAAAAAACGGACCACCCTCAATAACTTTCGATCTATTGATAGGATCTTCACGTTCTAGGACTAATTCTTAATGGTTCGAGGAGGGTAAACTCAAATATGCTAATTAATTAGTACAGATGATATTTTAAGATACGAAATCAGACACAAAAACATACTTTCTCTAAATAAATTTACCTTCTGTTCGAGGTATTTGAATTTCTGACCCCCAAAATATTGGGTGTAGCGGTAATCTGGAGAATATGGTTCCAATAGTTTGATCAGTAGAGCGGTCCAAAGTTTGGACTCCTTAATGTTAAATTTACTCTTTGTGTATTTCGCTATATCTCGAGAACTTTTTAAGAGAATGTTAGCCAAAAAAATTTTGAATTGTAAGGTAAGGAATTTTTTACATCATTTTAAAGAATATAATTTTACATGGCAAAATTACAAAATTTCAGTGAAATCAGTCAAACAGTTTCTGAGAAATCAAATTTCAAAAAAATTGTATTTTAAAAATTCAACTTCTCGGGAACTATTTGGCCGATGTAGCTAAAATTTTGCCCTGTAAAATCATGTTCCTTAAAATGACGTAAAAAAATTGCATACCTTACTATTTAAAATGTTTTGACTAATATTAAATAAAATAGTAAAAAATGAGAAATATTTATTAAAAGTTTTTTTTTTCATGGAATTATCTTCGGATAAATAAATTTTACAATCATGTGCAAAAACTTTTCAATTCGCTTAAAAAGTTCTCAAGATATAGGGAAATACGCAAAAAGTAAAATTAACATTAAGGGGTCAAAAGTTAGGACCTCTGTCCTAACCAAACTATCGGAGCCATATTTAGCAGATTACGACTACTCCCTATATTTTTGAGGTCAGAAACCCGAATCCGTTGAAAAAAAAGTTTCGTTTATTCAGAGAAAGTACGTTTTTGTGTTTGATTTCGTAACTTAAAATATCGTCTGCAATAATTAATTAGCATATTTGAGGTTTCTCCCTCGAACCATTAAGAATGAGTCTTGGAACGTGAAGTTCCGATCATTAGAACAAAAGTTATTAAGTGTGGTCTATTTTATATTTTGCGCATTAAAAGAAGTAGGTGCTACTTCTTTTAGTTAATTTTCAAAAAAGTCTCTCAGAATGCATATTAAGGGTGGTGATTACAAATCATCCTGTATAATAAATTTAATAAACAAGAAAATAATTAAACAATATGATATTTCTTTATACTTTCAGGGTCTTCTGTTAAGTTGCAACCAGCTATCAGCAGATTATCTTTTCCAACAGGATAAACATTACGACGTTCAGTACGATACAGGTGATAAAAATATAAAGTTATTTTATACTTTTATTCAAAATAAACCATTAAAAATCTGCACACTCCATTTTGAAACATTAGATCAAAACTGATGGCAAAAAAAAAGGAAAAGAAATAAAACTTTTACTGACGGAGCAATTCCCCAATGTGGAAAGAAAAGAGAAGGGAAAGAAAGAAACAGCAAATCTAAGAAAAAACTCTTCTATTTTAATTTTTTATTCTTTCATATTTTCAACCGACAAATTTCTGATTTGCAATGCATACAAACATTCCCTTCTTTTAAAACTTATAAACCCTAAATTTGAACAAAATCGATCGAATTTTTCACGAAAAAAAAGAATTACCTTTTTGGAGCTTTATTTCTCGGAAACTACTCCTAGAATTTCATTCAAGCCTTGTATTTGTCATTTAAAATTACAGTCACAAGTGGCTTAATGATTTCAGAACTATTTCGAAAGGCGCAAAATATTTAATTAGCAATATATAGCTTGAACTTACAATTCATCTGACTAAATGAGTAAAACCATATTTTTCAGATTGCAGTATCTGCAGTTATTTGATGGTGAAAATTCTGAAATCCAATATAAAAAATGTTTATTAATTGAAAACACATTTGGTGTCTAATTTCGTATTTTGAAATATTGTCTTCATTTATAAATTTAGCACATTTGTAGTATAATTCTTAAACCATTAGATTTGCATTTTAGTACGTAAAAATTCAAAATTCAGAGTGTTCTGCTTTGCATTCTTCATGCTTGCAATGACGAAGCTTTAAGAAGTATTTCATGAGATCATGTTACATCTTACACAATTCATTTTTCTTATTTAGGAGATAAAGTCATTCAGTGTGGACGGCATAATGACGTATTTAAATTGTGGCTGCAATGGAGATCTAAAGTAAGCATGACTGCTTTGAAAACTCTATAATTAACAAAATGATTGATACGATATAAAAAATTCTTAATTACACATTTTAATGATAATTGTGGGGCACACTACGACTCTGATTCAAAATATCAGTCATTTTTTTTCAAAAACTTAATAATTTAAAAACTGTTATTAAATCTCAGAATATTATAATGTTAAGTTTAATTGATACAAATTATTCGAATATTTTACGTTTTTAGAAATTTGTTTTTAGTAGTTATACGAATAGCTCATGAGAATTTTAGACTTATTGAAGACGATTATTCTAAAAAGATTTCTTTAGTGTACTTTATGTTTGGAATTTGCTTCAAAATGGGTCATTTTCGTGATATTCTAGAATCAATAAAGCTACGAATTAATGACTTACATCGATATGGTAAAAATCAACAATATATAGTCAACTATTTTGCGTTGCTATCTAGTATTATATAGCATTATTATAACGTATAGTATAAATGACGAGTTTGAGGCAGTGTGATAATAAGCCTTATTTTCAAATTGTTTAAGAAAACTCCGCAATTTTTAAGAAAGTGATAAGATATTTCTTAGTATTGTGTTGTAATTTCGTGGAAATTCTGGACAGTTAAGGAAAAACATTTCAATTTAAAAATGACATCCTTTTTAAAAGATGTATTTTATCACTAGCCCTTGTCTCATCCCTTTAATACGTTTATGATATAAGAAACTGTTTAAAAGATATTATAAAATGCATTTTAATAAGCAATGCTTGTAAGCAATATACTTCTTAAAATGTATTCATTTGAGAGCAGTTCTGATCTAGAATTTTATTTCTATCAAAACTTTTAACTTATTTCAAATATGAAAAATAAGTAAATGAAAGTTCTTAATACATGCTCACACTTTTTCATGTGTTTTAAAACGAAACCCTTTGAACTTACTACCTAGTTTGATTCTGCGAGACTAATTAAGACAGTTTCATGGCAAGCATAACTTTTTTTTTTAATTTTGAGCATTTAATTCCGCCCCATCTCGTTTTACTCTTCTTTACACCTTAGTGAAAAAGACAGGGAACGTTTCAAAGACTAATGTAATGTAAGATGACACATAAGATGACTTCAACATAAATCAAAAATATAATTCAAAAATCGAATAAATTACTGCTTTTTTTAATTTTAGCAGTTATCGCATCTAAACGTGGATCAATTTATTTACTAGTTAATTTGTCTTGAAAGATAGTGTGATATAATAAAAAATTATTTTTCCCCAATTGAGATAATTTGTTTTCAAGCATCAATATATGCACAGACTTGGAATCGTTTGAAATTCTCTAAAAAATTGATAAAATTTACGTCATTGTCATTTAAACAAAAGTGACTAAAAAATGTTTGGACGGATAAATCGATTTTGTTTATTTAAGAGAATTTTTTTCCTGTCATTTTTTTCTGAATTGATTATTCTCGAGCACCAAAACTAAAAATCAAAAAAATTGTTTATGGGTAATTAAAATAATGTTGCACACAATTTTATTAAGCTTTTTAGCACTAATCTCGATACTCAAAATTCTGCGTTCCTAGTGTGCCCATATTATTACTAATACTACAAAAAGATTTAACTTATATTAAAATATAAATATTCATAGGTATAAAAACTAAGAGAATTTTCAGATTGGGACGTTCATCTCCAAAACTACGAGTAGATTTTAATGAAATTTTGTTTCAATCTAGGTTGATATAATACAAAAAAATAACAATAACAATAGCAATAAGGATAATTCAGCAGTTATTATGCACACTAATTATCGAATCTGAAACTCTATGGAGTTGAACGATATGAAACACCAGTGTTCAGTACACCAGTGTTAACATAGTAATTTTGAAGCCTAGTAAATTCGTACAGTCCGTACTGTACATTCGTACAGTATCCGAAAATATCAGAATTTATTAGACATATGGTTATTTAAAATGTTTGTGTTCTCTACTTCGTGACACATATCATCGAAAGTAATAAACAGAGTTGTTGAAATTCGCCATCATTCACAGAATATTTCTTAAGCTAATATAGAACAAGCAATAAATCATTACATTTTTTATTAAACTTTTAAACTAAATGTAAAATGCATAACTAACATATTTTCTTGACATATTTTTCGTCTGAATTTCATAGGGAGACAAAGGGTTCGAAGAACATATCGATCATCTTTTCAAAATGACAGAGTAAGTAATAAATTTACAATCGTTTTGTTCGATTTGTAAGTTACAAATTATTTCAAATATTATTTTGTGATATTGCTTTTGTAATAAAAGAGGGCGTCCAAACTGTATGAAAACGGTCAAATATCTAAAGAAATACGCATTGGATCACAAATTTAAAAATACTAATCTGATATATTTTCAAAAGATGCATTCAATGTTATCAAACTTGATTCCCCCCATCATCAGTCTTGGTGGTGAGGCTAAGGTCAATTGCAGGAATCTCATATAGGAACCCCACTTCTTTATTGCAGATTTGGATTTTCAAGAAAAATACCCCAGCTTACCTTCCCTTGAACCAAAATGCCAGAACTTGAGAGAACCAAAATGTCTTAACTTTTTCTGTAAAATCTAAATCCGCAAGAAAAGAAAAATTGAGATTCCTAGTTTTTCTGGGTTGTTTTCTCGAAAAAAGATTCGCATATGATATTAAATAATTAATCCCAAGAAAATAAAAAATTAAATAATTATTTCTTTGGCTTCAAACATATGCAGATGGAAATAAAAGTTGACGTGTTCCAAACGTTCGAAAATAGGCGCCCATTCTCAAGACTTGTCAAACGAGAATGAGCAGAAACAAAAGTGATTTAAAAAATTCAAAAAATATGTAAATTTGTCAATGAAAAATGGAAAATGAAGGTGAAAAATAAAATTAGAAAAACCGCAATAGCCGAGAGTGAACCGAAAAATAAAGAAGAGAAACAGAACAAGAAAAACTACAGTGGCCGAGAAGGGCGAATCAAGGTAAAATGCATTTTCACCTGTTATGGGGAGGTGGTGAGAAACTACAGTCTTTAACAAGGGAATCAGTATTCATATGAATGAAACAAGATCCCAGGGCATCAAGAGAAGATAATGTGACTAGCGTGGAAATAATTTTTGCATTGTCAAAGTAGAATTTGCTCCCAAGACTCCAACAATGTGCAGCAATTGATAATTTACCGTATTCTTGACGACGGCTATATCTATCGTGTTCCTTAATTCTGAATTTTAAAGCACACCTGGTTTATTCAATGTAGCCAAGGACGTAATATCTGGTGAATGCCTCAGCGATTTTCAAATTAGGTCCAACCACTCTTTTGACCAAACTAGGGACTATATGTCCTTGACTGCGGCTACCCCCGTTTATTTTGAGGGACAGAAATCCAAATCCGTCGAAAAAAGAATGTTTAACAATGATGGTTAGATGTGTACTAATTTTGATAAAAATAACAAATAATACTAATAAAAATATTTCATTTGCTGATTTTAAATGTTTTCCTTGTAACTATAAGGCATGATGTCACACTTCTTGGTAAGCCCTTTCTCCCTCTTGTCATAAACTCTCACAAATTTAAGAACCCCCTCTTGGCGTGATATCATTTATAGATTACCCCTCAATTTGATCCTTGTGCAAAAAAACACATTTCTATGTTTTACTCTCCCAGAGATTTTCTGAATTTCTCAAGACTTTTATGTAACGTTTTCTTAGGTATCAAGTGAAACAGATCAAGGAGAAGAAAGATAAATACCACCTTTTGTTTGAGCCGGAATGCACTAATGTATCCTTCTGGTATATCCCAAAACGGCTAAGAGGAGTCCCTCATACCCCTGAAAAGGAAAAGATTTTAGGAGAAGTAAGGTTTATTAATTTAGTTTTAAATTGATAATAGACATAAAAGGAATCAAAGAAGGAGAATTTATGGTTTGCTGCGTTCTGTTTTGGAAACTACATATTTCTTATTCCTTATTTTTAAAATCTGTTGCAAAATTTGTCTCTATATGATACTGTCTAATTTTTTTTTCTAAACTACAAAACAAATTTTTCAGAATAACCACAATTTATAGTTTGTAGATATTATTAACAGACACCCAAGCAAATATTTTAGTTGAAATAGTCTAACTTACAGTAAAAGAGTTGTTTGACCTTTTTTCAAGAAGCAGCGTTATCTGTCTGGGAGCTTTCTTACTAATTTTGAAATTGATGAGAATATCTTATGTTTCTTAAACACAACGCATGAAACTATGCTCTTCTATCATCTGTCGTTTTCTTTAATTGATTTTTTAAATTTATGATCATTTTTCAAACACTCAATATGATCACTTTTTTTTATAAATTCTTTCTTTTTCAGCTTACCGCAAAGTTGAAGTCAAAAATGATGAACGCGGGGACACTCATGATAGGTATGTCTGATATATTAATAATAAAGATAATTTTCTTTCATTTTTTTGATTCAGCTCATTAGTTTAAATACTTTTCTCGAAGTCATTTGAAGGGAGAAAAAGAGCATTCACTTTGACTTAAATTCTAATCATACTTTTAATTATATAGTCTGCTTATAAATTACAGTACCAGCATGCTGCAATACTATTTAATAAAATTCTTTTCTTAGGGAATACCGCTATGCTAATTTTATATAAACTATTTTTTATTTGATTACAGTATGCAATGTTTGCAAGGATAAATCAGTTCCTTATCTTTTTAATAATAATTTTTTTAATCTTAATCACCAGAAAATCAGTGCGTATTGGTCAAATCGATTCAAACGCACGAAGGTGAAACAATAGCATTTATTCCGCGTTTAAAAAAATTTTTAAAGGCACATTTTTCTTGGGAATTTTTAAAGGCAATTAAGTTAATAATTAGTTAATAATAATTTAACAAAGTCAATAATAATAAATTATATTAAAATTTGTTTCTTCATGGATATACAGTAAGATTAATTATCTTAAGTGAATTCAGAAAATTAATAGTTTAAACTTTTTAAAAAAAACTCAAATGTGCTGACCAAATAAAACGAATGTATGACTACAATTTATATTTTTTTGTGAAACAATGGCTTCTATAAGAGACATATAAAAAATTTTTTAAATAATTAGTTAACTTCATGTCAGTCCATTTCGAAACGCAGATCCATGAAGTCAAAAAGGTGTATTGTTTTTCTTATCTGATTTGTGGTGCCCGCGGTTAGGTGGCATAAATAAGCTGGAAAGATATTAGTTTTGAAATAAGATTGAAATGACTTGATGTTGATCAGGAAAGTGAAGTTCCTTTTTCTGAATGTGCATCAAATTAGACCTTCAAATATCACATTTTTAAATTTGGCTTCACATGTTATACTTTTAAATTGGCACATGCAAGGTGTGTAAAAAAAAGTAATCAGAATGGAAGTGTTGCATTTAATCTAGGACTTCCTAACTAGGAGAAGATAGTGAATGACGTTGAATTTTGTTCTAGACTCAAATACAGAGGGACAAATCTGCAAATATTCGAAAAATCTTGGGGGGGGGGGATTTTAATCAAGGGCTTTTGTTTTCACTAGTCTTCAAGTATTTTCCGATAATAAATACGACTGAAGATGATCTTCTCAGAAAAAAAGCCTGCTGTTGCAAGAATTGATTAAAACGTTCCCGATCCGAAATCTTGTCACTTAGAATAATTGAAGTAGGTTTAAGTGTACCACTATTCATCAGATTTTAACCAATGGGTGATGAGAAAATTGGGAACTGGGTACGTTTTGTACACAGCATACTACTGCCCAGTCCTAAAATTCATTCCTTTTTGTTTGCTTTTTTCCCTTTTTTCTAAAAAGAAAAAAAAAGACATACAAAAGGGTACTATTTTTGAACATTAGAAAACACTGAAATAGACGTAACTGGTACGCACTTAGAGGTTATTTCAGAATTCAAATTCCAACCCTGCTATAAAGAGTGCAAATTCAGGCTTTAATTTAATGTATAATTACTTTGTTTACTCACCTTGTAAATAGTATTTGATAAACTTGGTTTTGAAATTTAGTGCCTTGACAAACTTGAAACTTAATGTCTCACATTAATTATATCTTGATCAATTAAAATGTCAACTTTTTTTACCACTGTAGGTTATCAACCTCTGGGGGATATTCCGAATTTCTTCAGAAGCATTATTTCAAGTGCAGCTGTTCAAGAAGCTGATGTAGATTATGCACTTGATGAATTAGACAGGCTTGGCCATGATTTGTAAAAGCACATAGTTTTGATTGAAATATTACGTGCTTGTTATTTAGATATGTGTCACGTATAAATTAGAAGGAAATTATATCTGGGCCCAACTACTTTATTTTACATACCTGACAATTTGCAAAATTCCAGTTTTCCGCAAATTGTTGGGCAATTTTACTTTTCTCCCCAATGCTTCAAAATTTTTCTTAAACTAAAATCAAAAATTTTCCTTTTCAACAATTTATAAAAATACATATATTGGGCCATTGTTAACTTGTCATCGGCTTCCTAATGAGGCTTATGAAATGTTAGATATGTTACATAAAGTGCGTGCTATTTGTTTGTATCGTCATTGTATTTGTGCAAGTAAAAAGATGATTATTCATCGACAAAAAATCCATGTCTTCCAAACTTAGATGTACTGAAGTGTAAGTGAACAAACCATGTTCCATCTTCAAGTATGAATAGAAATTTCATTTGTGTTTCATCACTTATGTGTATTCATTGTAGAGAGTTGCTAACACGTTTAGCCTGCTATTGATTGTAGTACACAACAACAAAAGCAGGCAAACAGTTACGTACAGACATGCTTGAGCATGTATAGAGATATTTTTAACGTAAAGCACTAATTATTCTAAGCAGTTTATTTTATGTGTCTCGAATTTAAAGTGTTAGTTCTTTAATTATGTGTACATAAATGTATTTAGAAATTAATCGAAATATTTTAGGTTCAAAAATTATAAAATGTACATTTAACAAATCTATTTAAATGTTTTACATGATAAAAGAATATCTATTTAAGGCAGGGACGGTTGTTAGCAATATTAAGAATCATAGGTAGAGATCAAATGTTGCGAAGGCTACGTTCTCTGTTTATAATTTGTTATTTCAGTGCCTATTGCTGTGTTGTGATTTAAAAGTTTTTCCCTGTAACAAAACTATTCTGGACTCTATTTCGTTCAAATGTTCTGTTACCATGTTTATAACTTTAGTGGCTAAAACATTTATGAAAAAAATTTATTATATTTAGATGATATATTTGTACTTGAAAATATATTTCTTAATAATTGCGAAGAAAAAAGAAACAATTTTTAAATACCAGCATATTTTTGAAAGAAAAAATGAGAACTTTTTTATTAGAAAATGTCTTGTAATGAGAGATTGAAGTTTTTTTTACTTTTGATGCATGCTTCCTTTTTTACTCTTATGCAGAAACCCATCACCTTTTAATATTTTCTTTAGGTTAGGTTAGGAATATTTAAACATTTTCATTTCACGTTATAGTTTTAATGACCTGTTAATTGTTATATTACTTACATTCGTAGTGTTGTAAGTCCTAGAACGTCCAAATGTTAAATATTATTAAAATAATGTCTGTGTCACCTGTTGAATGTTTCAGAGATAATTGTCTATATCATAAATCTTCCCTCTCTAAAAAAATCTTTGAATGTTGTGGATTGTTGACAAGTTAATATAGCATGTATGCTTATTCAATATTATAAATGTTATAAAAACATATCCAATTTTAAGCTTGTCAGTTAAAATATTTTGTGTTTTCAATTTCTTAAAGCACTATAGAATACTTTCATAGTTTCTTGTAAAGTTGTGGTACAACGGGAATGTTCAAAAACGCAAGTGATATAAAGGTTACTAATATGTATTTATCTTTTAAAATTTTAATAAATACCTTCACTAGAAAATTAATCACAAATTTGATAAAGAGTTTTCCAGTTTTTTTCAGGTATAATAGTAAGGGGAGCATATAATAGTAATATAATAGTAAATTTACATAATAGTAAAGGGAGCATAATAAATTTCATTAGTTTCAAAATTTAAATACACTGTTAAATGTTTTAAGAAATAAAAGATATAAATAGAATAAAAATATTCATTAAAGTATAAATCAAACATCAAAGTAATTACTCTTGAAACTTACTTCAAGCTGATAAAAAAAATGGTAAGAGAAAATATTAAGCAAAGAAATTAAATTTTAATACTTACGTCATATCCTAATTTATTAATTGCTGTCATCACAATTCGTTATTAAAATAATTATTCATGAAACGAATACCTTAGATATACCTACAATAAATATTTAATTTCAAACATTTTTTGGTCAATAACTGAGTATTGTGAATTTCTATAATTCTTAACAGTTGCAGTCCATGCTATACCTAAAACTTACTTATTTATCTATTTTAAAATGTGCCAAATTTGTAGTTATAACAAATAGTAGCACTTATCAAATTAATTTAGCCGAAAACACACCTAGCTGAGCTTCGCGCTATTTCTTTTTTGTTATGTATGCTGATCCAGTTCAGAATTTATTCCATCTTTAATACGGATTGTTCAATTTTAATTTAACATTAATTTAAAATGAAAAACGCCACATTTGAGAGCTTTCTATTTTTTCTCTTCTACCTAAGTAGTTATATCTATTTCGAATTAATTCAGAAATACCGTAGCTGGACTTTGGTAGAACTACATAATACACTTTGAAAACCCATAAATAAGTTACAGATGTTTCTCACTGCCTCTAAAGCAAGTAAATTCATTTTAAATAAAAGCTATGCATATAATGAAAATTTTTTCGCTTGCGTTATAATTTCAAGAAAAAGGTAAGAAATCGATTGCTATGTACAACAAACAACTTCATTTATACTTTTATTTTTAGTTCTAGGTTCTATAACTAGTTCTAGGTACTATTAACTAAAGTTCTACAAAAAAATATTGGTATGATATGTTTTTCATTATTTTAAGTAAACTCAGAAAAGGTTTTTTTTTTTTGTTTTGTAAATTTTAGTCGTTTTCGTAAAATTTATTTAAACTTTGATAAATGCCTTTTTAACAATTGAAGAAAATTGTCAAAAATTCTAAACTTTTACTATTAAAATTGTATTAGGTGAGTAAATACAATAAATTTGACAAAATATATCAAAACGCATTTAACGATCGATGAGTGTCCTCAAAACAATTTAAAACGCTACAAAATATGTACTCAAATGGACCTCAAATGAATTAAATGGTTAAAGCACGATAACAATAAAAGTACAATTTTCATATCACTATCGAAATAAAATTTGACAACACATTACAATTAATCATTGTACTTTGAAATTTTTAAGCGCACTGCCATTATTCATTTTATTTTTGAGCCAACATGCACGAACATATTTCTTGAAGCATTTAATAATTTGTATAGAAATAAAATGCCACACTTGACACTTGTATAACTTCTTAATGTTGATCAATATACAATTCTCGACTCTTATAATATTTTAGTATGATCATAACTAAATTTAGTGTGAATGGTGGTAAAAGAGTGGATGCTTATGTTTCCTTGCCTTTGACATATCATTCCTTAAAGGTTGCTTCAAATAAGTTTATCTATTTTATTATATGCATAATTAAGTATTTATTTTTTCCCGAATTTTTCCTCTGTTACTCTGAAATAAAATTTCTTTTTCAGTACCAGAGGATAATATGTGAGACTTAAAGAAGGATTATAATTGCTGTCATCTATTTCTAAAATCAATAACTTAAAATAAAAAAATGGATATATTTTCCTCTGATAACTAAGATTTATTGATTAATCATTAAGTGAGATTTTCTCAATGATTGTTGATACTTGGTTTAGCCCTAAATGTCGTGTGGTAACTTCAAATTGGTGTAGCTCTAGTACGATATTAAGAACGAGACCAACTATTACCAGTTATTGAAAAGTTTCACTTAATAATTAGATAAACATATTATATTTTTTCTTCATTCGTTAACCGGTCGAAGTTCCAAATTTCATAATTATTTGACATCGGAGCACCCTCAATAATGCTCTTGATATCCAATGTCTTGAATCTGTGTCTTATCAATTGACTATCCACACTCAACAGCAAATAGCTCTTATTTTCAGAGCTAGGCCATATCACTCTCCGGTACTATCAATTATATTGTATAATGTTATTTTGTATTTTAAACCGCAGGCAGTCAACTCTATCCCTCTTGCGGTTGTGAAAACCAAGAGCTATTTGGCTCGCATTCTTGGCGACAAGCAAATTACCGAAGACGAGATTCCCTAAGATCGTTCGATGCTTGCCATTTAGAATGTATGAATATTAAAGAGATTTCTAATCCTGGTAAAAGAAAAAAGTGCCAGATAGCACGTGGCTCCGCAACTAGGAAAGGCTGCTTGTTTTCGACTTTATTTTAAAGTCAGAAACTCTTAGGCCTGCTCCACTACCAGAAAAACTCTAGCTGCTGAAGCCGAGAGACATTATAATAATAGCCAAATGAAATACTTTGAAAGCAAATTCAAACGCAAGGCTTCTTGTTTATCAAGTATTCATAAATCAATCAAATCTAATGACACTGTCCTTTAATTTTGGTTATGGTCTTTTTTCTCCATCTTCTAGTAAGCACCATGTTAAAATTCGAACCCGACAGTTGCCCAGCCGAATGATTTGTACTAACAAACTATAACTAATGAAACCTAATTGCAGCAGGGAAAGAGTTGAAGCGCAAGGCCTAAGAAGAACCACCATTGAATATCCTTGAACTTCATCGCTATATTTTCTTCCTTTTAATTTCTTTAAATATTTCACTCTTAGCAAAAGAAGGATTTTATGAGAAATATATTTTGCTTACTAAGTGATATTTAATCACAATGCCATTAATATTTTTACTAAGTACAGCTTAGTCACATTTCTCTATGTTTCATGTTTGATGGTTATATCTTTAATATTTACTATAACTGATAAGTTTATATGATTTTAATATAATATCCTATTTCTCTATGATTTTACATTCAATTCATTTAATCACTTATGTATATTTTTTTTAAAGAAAAAATTATCTTTTCCCTTTATCCAATGTAAACACTGTGGAATAGATTAAATAAAATACTGTTAATTGTGACTACGATAATTCATTTTGTATTTTAATTTAGTGCATAATTTCAAAAAATTAGAATTTCATTGTATATATGACTCATTTATTCCTAGATCATGTGCAGAGTGTTTTACATATAATTTCTTCAACAGCGGCACGAAAGCCCAAATATAATTACCATGTTAATGTATAATTTAAATCTTTAATAATTATTTAATAAAAATGAAGAACAAAATTAGCTAATAATTAGAGTTTTCATTTACATAGGACAAGACAAACCACCCTGGGATTCGAACTCGCTTCATTGGGATAAGCAGTTTGGCGAATGGGGGACCATGGCCGCCTGACTGCTTACCAGAATCAAACTTCTAAGTCATTTACGTAGATTTGCATAACGTGCACAATGGCACAGTATTATACCCATTTGAGCGTTACCCTATATCGTCTATAATTTTAAAGCTTGGTGTACGTTATAACAATGGTAATACGGTAGTGTGTACGTTATAACAATGTATCTGACCAAGCATAAAAATTATAAATTAATATTAAGGGAATATCTAGGCCATTACGTATATTTAGAAGATGAGCTATATAGGGGTTTACAAAATAATGGAAATACTTCTATACTAATACAATTTTTTTATATTTTTCGAAAAATACCTAGAGAATCATTTTATAAATTTAGAAGTGTTTAGGTTATGCGGTTTCTCATACTTATCAATGAAGTTTAATGCTTTTAGAGATTTGAGGTACCGGCAATAAATTACGAATGAAAAATAGTTTTTTTGAATATCCTAGGAATAAATTACAAATGGAAAATAGATTACAAATAAATTAATAAATTACGAATGGAATTTGCAATTAATTACAAATGGAAAATGGTGTCTTTGAATATCCTAGGCCAAAAAATGTAGCAATACATTTGCAACTTGTAACAACTATTTTGGTTATTATATGCAATAATTACACAATACTTTGTAAACCTAGTATAAATATTTATAGAGATATGGACATTTTCATAAAAAGAAAATAAATCATCTTACATTTTTTTTGCTATAACTTTAAAAATGTATTAGTATAGAACTTTAAAAATGTATTAGTATAGAAGTATATCCATTATTTTGTCACCAAATTTTTCAAATTTTAAAATTTAAAAACATCCCATTTTTATAGTTCCTCCACGCTTTCTCTATAAGGAGAAATATTAAGAGCTATAATTTAAAATGTTTTATTAAAATTAACATATTGTAAAAAAGAGACAAAAATGATTTTTAATTCGGTAATTAAAAGAAAAAAAATATTTGCAAGCAATTAACCTTTTTATTTACAAACTATACGACTGACCACAACGAGATTCGAACACATGTTCTCAGGATTTATATCATGCTGATGGACCACGGTTATCTGGCTAGATAAAAAGAATCTATGTCTTTTATTGAGGTTTTGAATATAGCGCAGAATCAAACGATATCATGTCTGAATGGGCCACTCATATATAATCTATCATTTGGCTGCTTGGTGTGATAGTTTAGTACATAATGACAATATATCAGCCCGATTATCTAAATTTTAGAAAAAAAATATCAGAAGAAATTGTCCTTTATATATATACTTAAAACATGCCCCATATTATTCTAAATTATCGACATTTGGCACCCTTGCGACCGAACTGATTCATTCAAAGCTTTGTGGCTTGGCCTCATGTTTGCATATAATGAAATAATAAATGGGGCAAAGTTTGAAAATTATAGAATAATATGAAAGCAAAATATGTTCCTTTGTGTATAAGTAAAGAAAAAAGATATTGTTAATACAATTCGGCCCCCTTGAGCCGCAACTATTTCGTCTATTGGCGATCGAAATGGGCTGCAGGTGGCGTAGAGCAGAACTCTCTACCTATGGCAACACTTCACATGCTTTCCCCACTAGCGTGTGGAGAGTCATAGAGGAAGAAAGTACGTTAGTTTCTCTCTTGATTTTCATATAGATTAAAACCTTTTAAATTGGAAAACTATATGAAATTGCAAACTAGATTAAACATAGTTCTAAAGAAAAGCATTACGGAAATTTCAAAAAATATTTTTATTAAATAAGAAGGAAAAATATTAAGAAAAGGGAAAATATTGTAGTACATTCCTATGCAACTGAAAAGAGGAGGAGAGGGAAGGGAGAAGGGCCAAAGGTATGAAACCGGTCTCTCCCCAGATGGCGTATTCGAGCGTTGCGATCGCCAATAGTTTTTCATCTTCGTCAGGCAGAGTTTAGGTATATTGGTTGATCGCATCTCAGGTTGATAATTTAATATTTCTAAAAATACAAAAGTATATACTTGAGGTTATGAAAAAATAACCTAAGGTAGAACATGGAACACATGACGTTAATAAAAAATAACCTTTCCAAGTGTCAAAAAATACACTTGACGTTGATTTATAACAACCAGAAGAGTAAAATGGCACACCTTAGGTAGATAAATAAATACCTCAACAACTATATAAATCTATACCTGAGGTTGAAAGATAACAACCTAAAGTAGAACATCGAGCACATCACGTTCATAAAAATCAAGCTATCCAAAGGTAAAAAATACACTTGAGGTTGATTTATAATAACCTGAAATGTAAAACGGTAAACCATAGGTTACTAAATAAATACCTCTACAAGCATAAAAATCTATACTTGAGATTGAAAAATAATTAACTGAGGTCGAACATATTACACCTCACGAGTAAAATATTACCCTTCCAATTGTTAAAAAATATACCTGAGGTAGATTTATAATAACCTAAAGTATAAAACGACACACCATAGGTTGATAAATAAATACCTCTTCAAGCATAAAATTAGATACTTGAGTCCCGCAGTGGACTGATCGTTAAGACACGGTTCCCAGCAGATCACCGAAGTCAAGCATCACTGGCTACGGTCAGTGTGCGGGTGGGTGACCATTTGGATCAGTCTGCGTAGGGACCGAGGGTGTGCGGTATTGGTCCTCGTTAAACTGTGCTACCGTAAAGTGCTCGACTTCGCGCGCAGGTCGTCGGGCTACCGAAGCGGGGGTGCCATCCCCTCCGCAGAGGATCAAAATTGTGATGGCATGTCTTCGGATCATCCTCCGGGATGTTTCCCAGACCGTCGCCAATAGCCCATTGTGCAGCTCTAGTGCGACGTAGATTAACAACAACAACAGATACTTGATTTTAAAAAATAATTACCTGAGGTCGAACGTAATACACCTCATGTTAGTAAAAAATTACCTTTCCAACTGTCAAAAAATACACCTGAGGTAGATTTATAATAATCTGAAGTGCTAAATGAAATATCTTAGGTTGTTGAATAAATACTTCCACGAGTGTTGTTGTTGTAGTTGTAGTTCATTTACGTCGCACTAGAGCTGCACAATGGGCTATTGGCGACGGTCTGGGAAACATCCCTCAGGACGATCCGAAGACATGTCATCACAATTTTGATCATCTGCAGAGGGGATGGCACCCCCGCTTCGGTAGCCCGACGACCTGCACGCGAAGTCGAGCACTTTACGGTAGAACAGTTTAACGAGGACCAATACCACACACCCTCGGTCCCTACGCAGACTGATCCAAGTGGCCACGCACCCGCGCTATTGACTTCGGTGATCTGTTGGGAACCGTGTCTTAACGATCAGTCCACAGCGGGATCCACGAGTGTTAAAAAATATACTTCAGGTTGATAAGTAATAACCGAAGGTTGAAAATGAAACACCTTAAAGTAGTAAATATCTACTTCGTTACAGATGTAAAATTAAACACCTCAGGTTGAGGGTTCATATAGGTTAAGCCTCAGGTCAGGCTGAGGCTTAAATATACCTCTGGAGGTATATTTAAGGTATATGTGAGGTCAATTTTGAGGTATTCATTTGCACCCTTTTTAACCTAACGACGTATTTAAATAACGACCTCCTATATACCTTCGAAAAATACCTCATTCATACCTTGATTTTTTTCTTGAGGGTTAGGCAAAACATTTTGGGCATCTTTATATCCTATTACAAGAGGTATACTCTTTATTAAAAGTAACCGTGCGACTGGTGTGGACGTAAAGCCCCCTCACTGGCTGGAAAAGGTTGCATCTTTGGTGAGGAACAAACCCAAAAATACGAAAGTCATGGGATGTTCCCTAGCCCAGTATACAGCTGTTTCAGATTTACATGCTCGTTTAACTTCAATTTAATCAGTTGTAAAAATATCGTTGAAAAAACATTTTTACTTCAGATTTTATCTAGATTATCTAGATTAGATCTAGATTTTATCTCTATTGTAAATTGACAAGAAAGAAAGAAAAAACACACATCATTTTTACCACCGACGATAAGGAATCTTAAGAGCTGTAATACATTCTAAAATTGGGGACACCTCTGACTTACTTGACAACTAATTTAAGCAAATAAAACGATTTAAGATTGAATGCAGCACCCCCTCTGCCCGGTAAAATAAAAACAGATGAAAGATGCGCGATTAAAGAAGTGTGTAGTCTCTGCCTTTACATTCGGAAGTAAAAAATTGGATTAAACAAAAAGTTTAATTTGATCATCATGAAAATTTTAAAACAAATTTTTGATATTTTAAACTTGAAAAATATTATTGAATAGTGAAACAACGTAACACATTCTTATACATCTAAATAGAGGAGAAGAGACGGGGGTAGGTATTAGACATGGAACCGATCTTCTCCCCAGATGACGTTTTCGAGTAGCGATCATGTGACAGAGTAATCGCTGTAGCATCTCAAAAATGTTTTTTAAACAAAGTAGATATTTAGATCAGCAGAAATAGGTAGTTGAAAGCTTAGCAAATCTAAACAATGCAGTTTCTAAACTGAAACTTTTTGATTGTAATACATATGCGAATTATGTCTTTCACTTTTTAATAATTATTTTGAGTCTTCACATTGCCTTTTATTTTAGGAAGTTTTTGTCAACAATTATTCTAATATTTGTAATTGTCAGGTAATAATTTTGTTACTGTAACAACTATAAAAACTTTAATTGTTGGTGTATTTTTTTAATTTGCCACCTTAGTTGATGCTCTAGTTTTTTTTTTTTTTTTCAGTTTAAACTTAACGTGTTTTATAAAAAATTTGCTAGTTTAAAATCCATTTAGTTGAAGTGACTAATATCTCTCTTCTACATTTCTGCTCTCAAAATCATAACATTTTATTCTAGAAATTTTGAAAAAAAAATTTTTTTTTTTCGTTCCCTGCTTCTTTCTGCCCTTGATATTTTTTTTTTGTTTTAATTTCTTTTTCTGTGATGTATCTTGTAAACAGGGCCGGATTTAAGCTTGGCGGGGCCCTAAGCTACTGAAAATGATGGGGCCCTTTTAAGTTCAATTCTATTTCTCTACACCCAAAGTAAACTGTCGTATTTTTTATTGCTGAATATTAACATTATATTATTAAAAATTTGATAACATTGCTTGATTTTTAAATATATTGATTGTGATGGGACTATAATGTTGAGCCTGTCCATTATTGCTCATATTTTTTGAGCCAGGAAGAAAACAGAAACTCTTTTTAAGAGCATCATAAGTACAGAGTAAAGATTTGGCATCTTAGAAGAACCATTATATGTTTAACAGAGTTTTTTTTTCCTTGAAATTCTGAATACATGTTATTTGGAATTTTAAATTATATATATATATATTTTTTTTTTTTGAGAATTTTTTTCTAAATTGTTTTTTTTTTTCTTGACGTTACATTTCGCTTTGCTGCTCTATGACTTAGAAACATGAAATTATGAAGGTGTGTCAAAAATAAGCAAGGAGTTAGAAAGAACATAAGAAAATACAATTTGATTATTAGTTTTTTTTTTTTTTCATAACCGCCGTTGAACAACCGACTTAATTTGAGTTTACGACTACAAATGTTTAACTCCGTATAATATTGAATAATCACCTTATAATTTTGAACTCAATCCAGAAGACAAGAGAATTGGATCAGTACCCAGAGGTATTGATTTGTTGTGAGAACTTAGAGGACTTTGTGACCACGGCAGATTTAACATGCACCAGTCACCATTTTATACATGGGTATTCTTCGGCCGGCTGGATTCGAAATCCCATTCTCACAAACACGAGTTCAACGCCCTGCCAACCAGGCTATCCCGGCCAAATTATTAGTTTATTTTATAATAGTCATTGAACAGCCAACCCAATTTCGAGTTTACGACTACTAATGTTCAACTTATTAGACTTCTAATTTTAAACTCAATTCAGAACACAAGGGAACTCCAGGATCAAGTATTGGAAGAAATTTTTGTCTTGGAGGGGGACGTTTTGATGGAACTGACCAGCATTTAAGTTACATGATGAGGAAAACCACAAAAGCTTTCCACTGTCAGTCTGACAACAAGGGGACCTATGATCCGTCTACCACTGAGGATATTTTACTTCGGCACAGTGGCTGGTGTAAGCCGGGTGTAGAATTCGTATCGACCAGTCAACACTGGGATTCGAACTCAGTGCCCTTGAGTCCATCTTCACTGGGTAATAACTCTGCAGGAGGTACCAATTTTATTGATTTGCCAAATTTTAGTCATCTTCAAAATGTAAATAGAAATTCAATCGTAATTTTTGTAGAATAAAAAGATGGAAATAAACCGTTTTTCCTCTTAATCTGCAATGATTAATCAGAAGCAACCATGAGGGTTAGTGTGCAAAATGAACAGGGGGTGTAGCTTTCTAGTTTTTTAAATACTTGTTAAATTATTAGTTTTTAACATGCATACTTTAAAAAAAATAAGAAATACATTTTTCAGTATTAAGAAATAATAATTAAAAACTGTCATCAGCTGGAATAGAACCCGCGATCTCACAGTTTTGTGTTAGATTTCATAATCATCAGCCCCAAATATACACACCTGCCTTGCGGATATTTATTATTATTTTTTTTTTTTTTAAATTTAATAAATGAAGTTATTTGGATACTTGACATTCTTGAACTGGATACTTTAAATGCTTGACATTCGTTATTACAGAATGAAAAGCTTTGAAAGACAAATATTAGTTAATGTTTAATATTTAATTAAAGAAAAAGCATAACCCGTATTGAAATCTAACGAATTGTCCCTGATAAATTTTGTGGCAGTAAAAAAAATTGAAGCCTGATACATGTCCGGATTTTTGAAACACTTTCTAGTTTTACTATTTAATCAAATTGGTTTCGATGTCTTTCATCCCGCCTGTCTCATTAGTGATTCAGCATATTTCGATATCATTTTTGATTCGTTCTTACTTAATATTAATTTGTTTGCGACAATTAATTTGTATAACTTTTTTACTACATTTTTGCGAGGAGTTTAAAAATATAATATCGAGGGCATTAACTGAAGTTAAATTGGCTTTTTTTGTATGCCTCTTTTACTTACATCATCCACACACCCACACGCGACCTACTGCTTCTTAGAAACAGATATTAAATAGTCTCTTGATCAAATGATGGGACAAAATTTGCCTTTTAAACAAATCAAAAAACTTTTCTACCTTTTAAAATTGTTTATTTTTAAATAATTTATTAATACTCAAATTGTTTAAAAGATATGTTCCTTTTCATTGACAACACAGTTTTATATTTTATCTAGTCATTTATTTATATTTTTTAAACTTATTTTTTATTTGTTTTTATTTTATTAAATTAAATGCACAGATTTAAAATAAAAACAAATCTGCCAAAATTTTATAAATAGTTTCAATTTGCAATTTTAAGAAGTTATTTCGACTTTGCTTTAAAAATTTGAAATCCTTATAAATTAAAAAATTTAGATGCCTTATTAACTTTAAACACATAATAACAACAAAAATCAGGGAGTTAAAAATAGAAACAAGTATGATCAATAAACAATAAAATCATAAGCTAACTAAATAAATGAATTTTGTGTACGAAATATCATATTTTACAAATTAAACATAATTCATATTTCGGGGATACATGGAAAATTTGGTCAGACAGGAGGTTTGAACAATATTTTTTACATATATATTTAAACATTTGTTTAGCTGATGATCACTTGATTTCAATGCTCTATCAAGCAATATCACATGTTGCTTCTGTCTATTAGCAGTAAGTAAAATTAAAGTAAAACCACATCTGTTATCTCAATTTCATCCAAAATAAACCAAATCAAGAATTTTGGCAGATAGGCCTGTCAAAGAGGGAATTGAATAGTGGCCCACCATTTAAATAAATAAAGAAAGGAGTTCACGGATTCATGTACGATTAATTTGGAAAATAACAAATTAAAATCAATTACAATAATTAAGTAAATTAAACAATTAAGCTAGTTAAAACATTTAGGATAATTAAAAGGAAAAAAAGCTTTTGTAATAAATTGGAAAAAATATATTTTGCAAAAAAGAAAAGTTAAAATTAAACGAGAAGCTCTTTAACGACAATGAGACACAACGGAAATCTCGAAACAGAGTGACCCTAAACAAGATTCTCCCACAGCCCTAGAAATTTTTTGCCCAGAAATCAGACAAAAGGGTGTTTCTGTGGACAAAAGAGCCCACAGCAATTTAAAGAAACTGAAAACATTTCCCACAGTGTAAATTGAGGGGGCTATTTGACTACTCCATGGAGTACCGCTTTTTAGGATCCATGGACTACTCCCATCACTGGTAGCTACAAAAGCTACAGGATATTTTCATCAGTCAAAAGGCTTTTTTATTGCTCTTTTGATTAAAAAAGTGAATAGTAACAATTATTTTATATTTGTAAACACTTCTATTAGATTTTGAAAAGCGTTCGCCAATGTAAAAAAGAAAAAAAATGTATTTTAGGCTTCAGAGGGCTCCAGCTCCGAATAAAACTTTAAAAAAAGAAGGAAAAAGTTGGATCTGGGGGCCCTTGCCATCTCAAGGCCCCAAGCTACAGCTTATTTAGCTTATACGTAAATCCGGCCTTGCTTGTAAAGAACAAAATATATATTGAGTAAGAATGAATTCAAACATTCTTTTCTTTGAAAAGATAAAAATAAATTATTTTCAAAAACTTGAAGTATTTACCCAAAAAATATATTCAAAATATTACTTTTCAAAATTTCTGAATCTATACTTTGCATTATAGTTTGTAAAAAAGCTATAAGTTGGATTCACACCAGCTATGGAAATTTAATGGTTCAATAGAACCACCTGAGTATTCATTTAGTGGTCAAAAAATTTATAAAAAATATTGAACTTAACTATTGGATAATTCATTTTAAGGTACTCATCAAAAGGTATTAATTGTCCTCTATAAACCTTAAAACGAATTAGAATCATAACCCCATAATGATTGAAGATTAGAATTTATTAAAATTAAGTAAAAAAAAAAGATTAAATAATAAAAGTTAAAATAATAGATTCAACATACAGATAGATACCAAATAAATAAATTAAAGAAGAAAACAGGAAAAGTAAAAACCAACAATATATTATATTAAAAATTATCTAAAAATTCTAATTAAAGTAAATTCTAAAAGAGCAAAAAATTATGCTCCATTGATGAACAATTAATTACACTCTCAGGACATGAATGCAATTTAAACATTTAAAATTTTTTGCCTAGTACTTTCAGTTATTCTATTTGAAAAATCTTAAAACTGAAACCAAACCTTAGAATAAAATTAGTACAACAATTATTTTTTTCTTCAAATGCATGGATTTCTATGCAAAAAAATATGTTGTTACTATTTTGTAATTTTCAAACATATTTCAATTTCCATAATATCATTTTAGCCACATTCATCAAACGTTTTGGCGACAATTGTCATGATGTTGCCATAATCCTTAAACCTTAGCTGTTGCTTAAACCTTAGTTATGAGTATTATTTTCAGTTAATCGTATTTCTTTTAATCCCATATTTATTAAATTAAATTAGGCAAAAGAAAAAGTCACCTGATTTTTCAAATACATACATCATGTTCTATCTAAAATTTTCTGTTATGTGATGTCACATGTGGGACAAAAAATATTCCTCAAAATTTTTTGTTTAAGAAGTTGTATAATTTCAATGAATTCATTCTATAAAAATGATGAATCAATGTTTTGAAATAATAATAATTCAGTTAGTTTGCTGTTGGATTTTATGCCACGTGTGAGACAGCTATTCCAACATCACGAATCGATTAGAACAGAAATTTTTTACATCTTATTACCACTCAACAGAAATTTTTTTTTTGTTTAAACTACATAAAGTTTAATTCATTTGAACCTTAAACTGTTAAATTTTATATTATAAGACTTAGTATAAGGAAAAAGTTTTTTTTAAATTTTTGTTCTTGTATTTCATGGAATGACCCTATTGTTACAAATAAGTAACTTGCAGTGATTTTGTAAATAAACACATTTCTCACTGTGTCATATTTCATGTCCGT